CGCTGTCCCCGAGACAAGCCCGGGTGCCGCTGGCCGCCTTGGCCACCTGGCTTACATTCAGCCGGCTGCCGACCACCACCCCAGGCCCTTTCCCACCGGGCGGCTCCCAGCCGCTCCTCCCCAGGCCTGTGGCGCTGCCGGGGGTGGTTGTGCCCCAGGGGCAGGACCCGGCCCTGAGCCTTGTTGACCCTCACCCAGTTGGCTTGGGCCCATCGACCCGGCCTGGCCAGGGCCCTTTGCAGAGCCTTCCCGCCCTCCAGCAGATCAGCGCTCCTGCCCAACTTGGTGTCATCTGCAAACTGACTGAGGGTGCGCTCAATGCCCTCGTCCAGATCGTTGATAGAGATACTAAACAGGACTGGCCCCCATACTGAGCCCTGGGGAACGCCACTGGTGACAGGCCACCAACTGGGTTTAACTCCATTCACCACCACTCTTTGGGCCCCACCATCCAGCCAGTTTTTTATCCAGCAAAGAGTACGCCCGTCCAAGCCATGAGCAGCCAGTTTCTCCAGGAGAATGCTGTGGGAAGTGGTGTCAAAGGCTTTACTGAAGTCCAGGTAGACGACATCCACAGCCTTCCCCTCATCCGCTCTCACCTTGCCATAGAGGAGATCAGGTTGGGCAAGCAGGACCTGCCTTTCATGAACCCATGCTGACTGGGCCTGATCCCCTGGTTGTCCTGTACGCGCTGCGTGACGGCACTCAGGGTGATCTGCTCCATGTCAGAGCATTCTGCCCCATGTGAGGCTGCTGTTGTACTTGCTGCCAAAATAAGTAGCCCGTCTGTTAAGTGATTGTATCAGAGCTGTTGTTTCCATTGTAGTGGGTGGAGAGCAGCAAAAGCTACTCTTTGTACATAGCTTGGTAAAGCTCCCTTTAAAAAAAAAAAAACCCCACAGACCAAGCAACCGAACACCTCTTGAGGGACTGTCTGCTGTAACCCAGAATTTTCCCCCACAGTGTGTTGTAAAGCAATTAAAGGTGGGAAGTTGTCTTATTGCCAGCAAGTACCATCAATGCCATTCTGCTTTGCTTAAATGGTTAATTTGATCAGAAAAACATTCCTCCCTATTGCTGTTTCCAGTGCCGTGACTGACACATCTCAAAATTCCATATGCAAACACACCTCTACCCACACGCTCTGAAAAAGCATAATCCGATGAAGAGTGTGCACTCATCACAGAGAATGTCACTCATCAGTCAAAAGTGAATATTTACAACACGGGTTATTCAAAATGTAGGTGTCAAACTGGGGATAATTTGAAGGTATCAGCTGAACAGTCCTGCCCACCCTAGCAAGGGCTGGCTTTGTTCTAGCTTAGATGGTGAAAATAACAGACGGACAAAGCAACACAACAGCAGGGCCGTGTGGGACAAGTCTGGCCTTGAAAATTTAATGAACTCTCATGTCTAGTAATAAGAGGTAACATAAAACGATACTGTTTTACGGTGTCTGACTTCTAAGGCTTACATGGCTGTTGTGTTAACTTTATTCTCATTTTGTTTCCTGACTGGTGTTAGAATGGATACACCCCTCTGCATATTGCTGCCAAGAAAAATCAGATGCAGATAGCTACCACTCTGTTGAACTATGGGGCCGAGACCAACATTTTGACCAAGCAGGGAGTCACCCCGCTTCATCTGGCCTCCCAAGAAGGTCACGCTGACATGGTGACCTTGCTTTTGGAGAAAGGATCCAATATCCATGTGGCAACAAAGGTAACTCATAACCGGAGACAAAGTACTGTGGGTGGGAGTATCCAGGAAGATGCAAAGTGCAGTGTAGGAATGATGTCACATTGTCAGGAATTCTCGGCTTCACTTCCTTATATACATATTTATGAGTCTGCAGAAGTGACAACAAGTGGGTGAACAGTAAAAGCAAGAAGAGGATGTCTAGGACTGGCAGATGGGTTGACCGTTTAACTTATATCATGTAATTAATAGCTGTACTGGGTAATGCGCAGGAGGAGCTGCAGCTGTTTCCCGTGACCAGAGGAAAGCGATGTAACACCTGGCTCTGGGAGGGACATTACGGGAGGAAAGGCAGACCAAGAGAAAATTGTTTCTGAGCATTCAGGAAGGCAGGACTGCAGTATTTCTGTTGTGCTGCAACCTTGCCATCTCTCAGGTGTTTTGCATGTGCTCCTGAAGTTTTACATTAAGTGCAAAGGAAGAGGAATGTAAAACTTGGGAGTTTGTGGGTCCATGGGTAGATTTAACAACATGTATCAGAAACCTGAAAGCTACAGTCTAAAATTGTTCAGTGCTCTTGCCGGCAAAGGCGCTTTTCCTCACGTATTTGCCCTTCAGCCTTCTTTCCAAGTGGAAGAAATTGGCAGTGTCTGGCAAATAACAAAACAACATTATTAGCGGAATAGCAAGTGAGAAAAATCCTATAGAGGACATGTCCAATTTTTTTTTTTTTTTATGATTGTACATAACAGCTTTTTCATAGAAAACAAGTTCCTTAAAAAAAATTCATTACTGTAGATTTTCATAGGTCACCAGATTTATCCAGGCATATATGTAAGTCATATTTACCTAAGGTCAAAAGCCTGCAGCTTTTGTTCATATAAGTCAAAATAGAAGGCTCAAGTCTCTCATTGTCTGGCATTAATGTATTGTGCTACCTAATCAATGAGAAACGAAGCGATTTTCGTTTCTCTTACAAAATTTGTTCCCTGCCTTGTTCACTGGCAAGTACTGTGTGCTTTTCGTTAAAGGCTGCATCCATTTCCTTGGCATCTTTGAATGGGATCTATTTCTGGAGTTATTTTCTTCATTCTGACTCGCGCCTGCAGTTGTCAAGGTTCCCCTTCCTGTCTGAGGAGTGGGAAGCGCGGTGAATGTGCTTCCTGAATTTATTAATGGGCTCCTCAGCTTCCCAAGTGACATTATTGTATAAAATCCGAGCGTGGTCATTGAGGCCTGAAAGTTTTACTCTGTGGTTATGGTGATGTAATTGCTTTGGAGCCATTTGTCAGCCAGAACAGGAGAAACATCAACTCTATTTTATTTTAAAAAAACACCCATACTTAGAAGCTTTAGTTAGGATCTCTTAATGTTTTAAAGATGAGAAAGTAGGAAAGTCTAAATTTCTTTCCTCTTGTAAAGTAGGTTTTATTCTTATTTTTATCTTTATTTATTTATTTTGTATATTCCACCTCCAGACCGGACTGACATCCTTACACCTTGCAGCTCAAGAGGATAAAGTGAACGTAGCTGAAATACTCACAAAACACGGTGCAAACCAAGACGCTCAGACAAAGGTAAATCATGGAGTGGCTACTGTCTCCAGTGTGCCAAAGGATGCTACCTTTGTAAAAGGAATGTTCCACTGAGCTTGCAGTTTTACTTCTTTGTTTTCTTATTGTAGCTTGGTTATACACCTTTAATTGTGGCGTGTCACTATGGAAACATCAAAATGGTGAATTTTCTTCTCAAGCAGGGAGCAAATGTCAATGCTAAAACAAAGGTAAAGAATTTTTCATTGCTTGCTTTTGCTCTTTATGATGAAGCTGGTAACCAACCACTACGAATACATACCACAGGTGGCTTTTTTTTTTTTATTGCGTGGTAGGTGTCAACATATGGTGATTTGTGGCTGTAGTGGAATGCCTTCTCTCTGCTACATCTCATTGTGTAGCGTCCACAAAAGAAAAGTCAGATAACTCTTTAGGGGTATGAAAGAAGGAGATAGAGAATCAATGTCATTGGGTTTTTTTTTTTCTTTTTACTTGCAAACTAACAAATGCGAACTTGTTTCTGATCTCATTTACACATGGTTTACATCAGTGTAATACCGGTGTGCTGCCAAACCAGTAAGTTACAATTCAGACACTTGGAGGGTGATGCCAGGTTCTCTCCAGTCTGCTGGGAGAGGAGTGGGAAGAATTACTGCTGATCAAAGCGTGGGTGGTATGACTTTGGGAGAGGAAGCAGCTGTGGTGAGGGAATGCAGTTTACTGAAGACAGGTTTGGGGGTATTTTTGAGGGGAATCTGGGTACACTGTTACTGTCCACTTATACTGAAATGGAGCTGACTACCTAAAGCCAAAGTCTGAACGAAATCCACTGACTTCAGCAGTTTGTTCTAGTATAAACTGGTGGGCAGAACTGCTGAATGTCATGCATTTTGTAGCAAGAATTGTGTATCTCCCGAGTATACACAGAGAGGTTCTGGTGACAGCAACAGTATGTTGCATTCCGCATATCGTCGCCTCAGCCTTATCAGAAAGAGAAGGCTAACTCAGGAGCTGCGGGGCTTCAGCTTAGTTAGAGCTGGCTTTGGGCAACAGCTAGCTACCAGCTTCAGATTGGATGTCTTGGAATCAACATGAAGAAGTCCATTGATGTTTCTAGTGACATACTTAGTATTTGTAAGATCCGATCAAAATCCCAGGCTTGTGGTCTGCTGGTCCCTCTGGCTAGCTCCTGCATAGCAACCTCTAGGATGGATTCATTTCTCAGCGAGGCACTATTTCATCACAGTGGTCACAGCTCAATGTGGTGAGAAACAGCAAAGTAAATAAATAAAAGATGCTGGCCCATCCCTCGTGAGATCACCCAAAATCAATGGGCAACAAACAAGGATTCCAAAAGAACAGGCAATGCTACTAGAAAAACAGCTGATAAGAATTAATAAAGCAGACACTAGCAGGATCCAAATGATAGCTGCCAAGACACTCAGCTGAGGTATTTGGAGGCTAAATAAAGGGACAGACATATTTGCGTCTTTAGTATTAGGTCTCACTCTATGTCCAGGGGGCCACTGGGCCAGATTCTGACGCCATTTCCCCAGGTATTTCACTTACTTAGAATAATTTCATTAAAGTCAGCAAGTTTGTGTGAGAGAATGGGGCAATGGTTCTCCAAAAGCTCACACCTAGGGACCAATAAAAATACTGGCCATCTGTCAGCTGGTACTGTGGACTCAGTTTAAGGAGCAAATCCACCCTGGCTGGATTCAGGATAGGCATGATAAAGAATAAGTAATCTCTATTGCAGCTTGGCCTTTAACTAGAGAAAGCCTGCATGATGCTATGTGCCATCTCCAGTGAAAAATAATATGGCTGAATTCTGTTCTTGAAGGACTGCACTAATATTTAAGTAAAGATGGCGAATTTACTTTGTACTACAACCTAGAGTAAAATCCTCCTTTGATTTCTTAGTAGTCCATGCACGCATACTGTAAATGTAAGAAGTGTAACAGTTCTGAACTATCACTATTTATTTAGTAGTACAAAGCGTTACTTGCATCTATTCGTTTGCAAAAGAGATAACTCTCAGAGCGTGTCTTTCAGAGCCTGCCCCCAGGCTTTACATAAGTGTACAGTGAGATCAACTTGGTGTTTTCTTCCAGTTTATTCTCTGCTTCCTTTCAAACCTAATCGCAAATCATTTTGTAAATGAATTGCCTGACTGGACTTACACAATACCACCTCAGATCAACTAGCTGAAGTACACTTTGATTATATTTATCTATTGTGTAACATTAGAATGAATCACTGGAGCAGGTAAGTATATGGAGTTAAGCATGTTTATTAATACAGACATTGTGTACATGTTTTTTTAAGTGTAATTGCAGCTTGGTCAAGCCTTTTGAAGGCAAAGTGAAGCTAAAATGGATTGACATTTGTAACAGGTGTAAGTTGTTAGCCTTTTTGAAAGCAAATAGTCTGAAATCACTGCTGTTAAAAATTGTATATTTTTGAAATCGGCTCAAATAGTTTAAAGGCAAATCTTGGGGCTTCTGTAGAAAACTAAGATGTGAGAGGAAGAAAAATGTTCTCTGCCTCTGCTATGATTCTATGTCCTTAGCATGCCACTTTACTGTTCCTCATTGTTCCTCCCTCTGATTTAGGAGATGAGGAATTATCTGTCTTGCCAGAGATTGCTTATATTATGAGATGAAAGATGATTTGTGAATAAAAATATTATCTTCCTGTATCTTTTCATGAATCTGGGGAAGGAGTATTATTATTACTGAAGATTTATTATCTTTGGGTCAATTGGTGGCATAATTCTTTTTTGAAATATCTCAAAAGGAGCAGAAAGAAGCAAAATGAAGTGTCTAATCTAATTACTGGTGGTCGTTGTTCTTTGTTTGTTTGCTTTTATCGTAACCACCGTGGACAACAGAATGGCTACACCCCTCTTCACCAAGCTGCTCAACAAGGCCACACTCACATCATTAACGTTCTTCTCCAGCATGGGGCCAAGCCCAACGCCACCACCACTGTAAGTCCGTGAAGTGCCAGTGGGAACTTTCTTCCCTGGGCTGTTCTTTTCTTTCCTTTCTTAGGGCTTGAGAGCAAGCCGTTGTTTTGGTGGAAATATTCCTCATACAGCTGTTTGTCAGATGTGTAAATGTAACTTCCTCTTCTTTTCCTTATCCTCTCAAGGTAGTTCAGATCAGATCTAACTCACTGTGCGCTAAGCTAAACGTGAGGTGGGGAAACTGATTTCTGAGCTGCAGGGTCAGGCTGGCCACAGCTAGCTGTGCTGTGCTTGTTCAGGTGCCCTCTGCCTCAACACTTCCGTCTGTAAATTGATCTCTCGATAAGGATTTTTCCATAAAAATTCAGGGGAAATCAGAACCTGGGCTTTTTTGAAGATTTAGACCCAAATTTCTGTCCCTCTCTCCACTGCATCTGTTTCAGGTTCTTACTGAGTTCACTGATGTTAATGCCTCCTCAAAGACCGTCAATAACCTCTGGCACAGCTCCTTCTCCACAGTCAGCCAGGAATGCGACTGTCCTATTTTATGTTGATGTTGTTATTAGTCACCTCTAATTGGGTAATCTTTAAAATGCAGCCAGAATGTCCAAAACTCGTGTTGTTCCCCAGAGTGGATCCAGTTTCTATGTGCATGTATTGTGCAGGCTTAAATCAGCACTGTTTGGTCCTGGAACGATCACACTGAGTAATCTTCTGTAAAGTTACCCAAAATAGCAGTTTATGCACCAGATCATCAAGCAAGAGACCATTGTAGTCAGCTTCTGGGGCTGTAGGTGCTCTTGGGCATGTTCAGCCGGAGGTGTCTCTACTTGCTTTTGTTCCTCATGTTGGGGCTGTCATGCCCAAACCTAACCCAAATCCAAGCAGGGTCCCAAGGATGTGTCTTTACTGCACAGTTTGTGTGCTTTCTCAGGTGCTAGATCTGTTCTTGTCCACACCTAGCAACCTCTAGCTTGAGATAAGAGAGAATTTCAACCCGAGACATCTGGCAGGGGGATATGGGGGTGGGATATGAGCAGTTAATGTGCAAGTGACGGTAGCGGTCAAATTATTTGTGCCATGAAGATGGTAATCATTTTGTGCTGCTAATCCACGAACGCTGTGTTGCTTCAGGGTTGCTGAGCTAGACTCATACAGAAGAACTTAAATTACAGATAACGAAAGCCAATACTGAAGTAGAGAGAAGCCCTCAGGTTGCTATCATGCACGCAGTGCAGTGGTGTCATGAGAAATCGTTTCAGTGCAAAGAGCGGTACAGTGGCTTTCCGTGATTCCCCCAGTAGGCCAGCACAGTGTTCTTTGGTTCAGTGCAAAATAACGTAAAACAATTCTGTGCAGAGCTCTTTGCAAAGCGTCACGGAACACGTCCCCTTCTCCCCTCCCCAAGTTGAGTGACATGGGGACTGTGGACTGCCCGTGTTCCAAGTGGTGAAATGGAGATAAATAGGCCTAAACACTTACTAAATTGTCATTTTAATGTCCATTGGATGAATGGCACATCTACATATCATGGGCATTTAAACTGCAAATCAATTTATTCAAACGGAAATTAATTCCCCACCTCTGAGCCCTATATAGGTTGGTTTGGGGGTTGTTAAATCATTAGCTTTTGTGTACTTTTATTGGACGTACATTTTTGCTGTAAGGGGTAATAGAAGTATATGTGGACAATGTATTCCCCAAAGAGGGAATTGTACCTGATAAAGATTTAACAGTTTCAACTGGAAGTGAAACTGTAACATTTTAAAATACTTTTTTAAGAAGAGTATTTCTGATGTAGAGCCATTTATGCAAAATAAAACATGAACTTCTGCAGACAAGACACATTCTGTATAGTGAAATTTGAGCACTGAAGGGTTAAACCGTACAGCACTTTTTTATTTAGAATAGCAGGCAGTTGTAAGTGTGTTGTGTTACCATGGTAATCAGGGCTATAGTCTTAAAGAAGTTACGAAGACAGAGTCAGATGTAATGGTAAAAAAACGGTGATTTTCCTAGGCTGCGCCTTGTTTTGGATGGAAATGCTGGCTCATGCCGTGTTGAGAGTGATCTCATTGGTTCACATCACAATCCTCCCTCTCATTGCGCTCGCTCTCTCCCCTTCTCTCTTTTCTCTTCAGAATGGTAACACTGCCTTAGCTATTGCAAGGCGCCTGGGATATATCTCAGTGGTCGATACGCTGAAGGTTGTAACGGAGGAGATTACCACCACCACAACTGTGAGTTGCAGATGCATTAAAATGTCTCTCTTCTTTATTCAGAATGTTGTCTCTCTCTTCTTCCCTCAGACTCTCCTTGTTCCGTTTTTTTATTTTCTGGTTTTAGCCCCCCCTTTCTGTTGCATTTTTGCAAAAGTGCTACAATGCTTTCAGTATATCTTTTAAGCGTGTGGAAGTGTGTGCAACACAACAGGCTTCCCTGAGCTAGGTAACAAAATCTATGTGCATACAGATGGAAAACAACTATTCAAAAGCAGGGTAAAACTTTTTTCTAGATAGGGGTCTGAGCTGCAAACCCAAACTTTCCAGAAGTTTGTGCATTGTTGTTTAGATCCTGTCCTGTTTCTCCATTTCTCTTTTCGCCTCTCCTTTTCAGTCTGTCCTTACGTTTCCACACTTTTGACACTTGCTGAGGCTCAACCGTTGCAGCACGCCACAGCAAGCTTCTGAGCATTTGGACCGTACCAGCCGTGGACTGGTGCCAAGCTTAATGTTGCTCGCTAGATGGCTCTGAATCACATCAATCATCTTTTTACTCAAGTCACTTTCAGTTCAAATAGATCCCGTTTTTCCAAAATGTGAAAGAATCTTTCCTTACGTGCTCAGTCCTCCACGCTCTTGGTAGTCTGTATTTTGACTTCAGGGTTTGTGAATAGGCTGTGCTGAACATCAGCAAGGTGGTACTGTTGCTTTAAGCCAGGAAAAACTCATATATTCTGACACTCTGGGAGGGGAAGGTTTTCTCTTCTCAGACTTTCACCTCCCATCTACAAATGTTTTAGCAGGTAGGAAGGGAGCACATTAGAAGTAGTGCATCATTTAAGAAATTAATTTTAATTTAAATTTCCATTAATACATTTTATCTTGAAACACTGTTGTAAAGTCATGCTTTTTTTTTTTTTAAATGCAAGAAAGATTAGCAGTCTAGAAAACCTATCAGATCCAGATGTCATTTAGGAGCTCCAAGCCGTAAAAATCCACAGATTATTTAAAAGATGCCCCTACTCAATCAAGGAGAGGATTAGAGAAGGGGAAGAAATCAAAAGTCTTTTGTAAAGAAATGGGAAAATAATTTTGATTTTATTGCATGCTGACAGCAAGTCCCACTGATACTAACCAAGGAAGATGGAATAAAAGTAACATGGCATAAGGTTACAAATAGAGTGAGCCATAATTTATTAATGACCTGCAAAGATCAGAATGAGTCAGGTTTGGACAAGGAATTCCAGCATAATTCCAGAAGTCTCTTAATAAAGACTGTATGGTTTTGTTGTTATTTATTTCGTGTTCTTGTTTAATCGTATAGCACATCACACATCTACGTGCATAAACACATATGTATCTGTTAAGAGATTTAGAAAAATAAAATAGGTAAAATTTTTCGAGAAACGTTAGCTCTTTTCAAAAGGATATTTTTTAGCCTCAAATGACACCTTTGTTGTGCTCTGTGCTGTGTCCTGGCACAC